ATACAAATACGTTTTAATATACACAAAACAATACAATTTACAATAACAGTTATTACAAATAGTTATTACAAATAGTTATTTATAAACAAACGTTTCACAAACTTACAAACAATATAAAGTCTTCCTTTTAATCTGGCACTTCTTCGATATCTTATCGAGGGTTCACGACGAGCGAGTTAATCACGAGTTAACGTAAGTGCAATTCGCTTTTCGGGAAGCCAGCTAGCCCTGTTGTCTTCACTCTTCATACGTCTATTAGAGATTGAGTTTCCACCGATGACGTTAGGTAATGTTTTCGTAAAAGTATTAATGTCCAGTGTGAATCCACAGAAGTTAAATAGTTTGTAATGCTCGAAATTTTATAAATATTCCCGGTCAAATATCTGAAGTTTTCCGATTGATTAGCATTATAACGATCACAGTTATAGCTTCCGAAGTTTATAGAACACTGACTATAGCGAACTAATAATAGATACTCTCCCTTTTGGCGCGTCGCGTTGGTTATATATATAGGCGTGTGGAGGTGTTATAGAAATTTCAGATTTACGTAACACAAGTATTTACGTACACACACATATATTGTTTATTCTTACTCTCGAGAATCTTCTACAACTTTGGAGAATAGACGGGAGTTTCGCAATACATATCTAACAGTATAAGCTATGTATGTTTCTAAATATAAATTTAATCTAAACAAACGTTGATATTAAAATAAATATAAAATAACATATTCGTTACATGAGTAAATGCCCGAGTAGTAACAGAGAAGGTAGCGTATGATTAGACAAACATGTACGAGTTGTTATTCTGGTCTGTATAAGTTGTTTTGAGCATTTTTTTTTTGTCAAAACAAACATACATACCTGTTTCTTATAAAAGTGGCGTGCTTTTGATATAATATTTTTCGAAATAGATCAACGCTTTGTTCAGACAATTTCTCTGTAGTTGGTGTAGTCATGTCTCGTCACGTGCCACAAGTTATAGGGCGTCCAATTGTTCAAACGTCCAGGAATGGTATGAAGCAAAAAAGATATCACCAGAACAGTAGGGTACCCTCAGTGTACCCTATCCAGAATCCTAAAACGTTGTTGGACAACAGGAAACGTTGTTCCAGGAAAGTCGACTGGTAGACTCTGAATAACTACTGCCCGAGATGACCATGTTTTGTTCAGGTTAACACGTCAAGGTTCAAAGAAATCTTGCAACACTATTCCAGAGTATCTAGAAGAACAGTGAATAGGAGACTGACCATACAAGGTTATTTGGCAAGAAGGGCTATCTGCAAACCGATATTAACCAGAATTCATCGCCGTCACCGTATTACATGGGAAGACAGCATGCCAACTTATTGTTAGGACAAAGGTGGCATGTCATTTTTTTCAAATGAGTCCTGTTTCTGGCTTGTTAAAGTTGATGGTAGGATTCGTGTTCGTCGTTTGCCTGAAGAACAATGAGTGAAGACTGTCTTTCTCACAGAGAATGCATAGGAGGTGGTGCAGTACATATTTTGGCAGCTATTTATCATGGTAGAGAAACTGCTCTTCATATCTTCCAGGGACACGTCACTGGCGCCTTCTGCAGGCATCACATGGAGACGATATTTCTGCCATATGCTAGGGCAAGGCTCGGCTATAATTTGTATTCTAGAATGACAATGCCACTGCCCATGGTGTGGGTATGTTACAGGATTATCTCGACCAGGAATGTGTTACAAGACTGCAATGGCCAGCAAAGTCTCCAGATTGTAATCCCATTGAGAACTGTTGGGCAGAACTCAGCCGGAAAATTGTTAACCACGACCATAAACCAGCTACTGTAGCTGAGTTGTAGCGCCTTCTGGGGACAAATTTGGATAAAATCACGGTGGGTTACATCACTAACATCATCGACTGCATGCAACGTCGCCTTGCGGAGGTTATTAGAGTACGAGGAAGACCAACCAAGTACTGAATGTTTAATATGAACTGATATAAGGTTACAGACACTATTTATAATAATTTGATGTTATATTTTGTCATTATATATGTTTTGGTAAGGTTTTATTGTGATAGATGAAAGGTGTCTGATAAAATTGTTTGTTGTTCTAATAAATCGTTCATGATGTCCATAGTACTTGGCTCATTATAAAATTGAATATGTAGATGTTTAATACAACATGCGATTCTCAGTTTTATAGCGCTAAGTGGATTTGTATTCCATCTTAATAATAATGATCTTATTTGTTACAAAATATGCAAACATTTTGGCCAAGACTGCATTTGCTTATACAATTACTTCTTTTTTTCAGTTCTGCCCAAAACAACAACAACAAAAAGCACACATCCAAAACTAAAGTTTTTCATGTTCTTTTCATTAGATATTCGGAATGGTCTTCGCCATTTGTTTGTGCAAAGAAATCTGAACATTGCCATCCATTAAAAGACGTGCATCTAAACAAGTGATTGAGATCTGATTGTTGTTTTACGTGAGAAGACTGAGGATTTTAAATCTGGACCTGGAAATGTTTGAAACGTAAAAACTGAGTCGACATAACCAAACTTCTGAGGTTTTCTTCATGGCCTCCTACTGGTTCAAATTATTTGTTCAGATAAACCAGAATGACAAATAAAAATTCTGAAACTAAAAAAAATAAAATAATAATATTTGACAAGAGTTAAGTACTATACTATCTATGTAAGACGCCATCTTATAAGAAGAAATGTATCTATGTCATAGTGGTGTGACACCGTACTTTCTTTAAGCTAATTTGATTTTACATGTTGGTGTTGGTTAGATTAAAAGATTTGGATAAGTATGTAAGTTAATTCAGTAGCTAATACTAGTTTACTTGTAACTCCAATGCATAGACTGAAGAACTAGCCTTAACTAGATGTTTCGCGGTAATTATTCAATGAAACTTTAAACACTGGTATTTTTTCATTATGTTTTACTGATTAGCGAAGTACACCAAAATTTAACCTATTTATTCAGCAATGTTCAACCTTACAATATTTGTATTTAGAAAGAACATCAAGTTTTATTAAAAATTAAAAAATGAAATAAGTGAAATCTAGGTATTCTCCTAATGACCGGAAATTATTTTTCACATCAAATTCTCTTAACATTTGAACATAATATAACGATATTAATGAACCTAATTGAAAAACAAAATTGCTAAGTATACATGTATAGTTTAGTAAAGTCGTCTGTTGTTAGAAGTAGCCTAATTCTCTAGAGAAACGTGCAGAAATTTATAAAATATTGCATCTAAGTAAGACAGAAAAGTCAATAAAGCCCATTTGCTTCGACCTAAATTTTGTTGTCGCTTGTAAACAGCTTTTACTTAGAATTAGATCTTGATATATTATTCCTGTGTTATGTTGCCGTTACATATATATATATATATATATATTCTGATGTACTTAAATTTTTTGTTCAAGGTTGTATTCCCTCCATAGCAAAACTCTAAACTTGGTAAAAAAATTAAAATAAGTTATAAATGGATATAACTTGAATTTTTATTATGGCCACAACTGGGCAACGGATGCCTAAAAAATGTCATCTTCTTGAACATGAACTTACTCAATGTATATTTCAAGCTTGAAAACTGTTTAACGAGAAACATGAAATATACAGTAGCATACTGGTTCGTCTTAATTTAATATAGCTTTGTATATAATGAATAATATTATTTTAGAATTTTCCGTCCTTTTCGTTTTGCCAACTTTTCCCTTATAAAAGAAAAAATATTTTGCCTATAGTTTGTAGGCGACGTGTTCTTTTGTTAAACTCCTCATTGATTTGAATTGATTATAAAGAAAAAAAGGTTACATCACTAATAATTTAACACGTCTTGATTGAAAACTGAATTCGTTCGCGGAATTTTAAGGCAGTTGAGAAATATTAACTCATAATTAATTCTGTAAAATTGCAGCAAATATTATGACTTTTAGTAATTCATTTATATTTTCAATGTTCACGAATATTATATTTAATTTGCATTATTCTTAATTATATTCTTTATTACTGACTTTCACGTTTAAAATATATGCGAAAAAAGTTGTAATGTTCTGCTCCTTCACGTTACAGAGACATTTAACACAAGCACATAATTGGCTGTGCTTAACGTAATTTACATTCAAATTTGTGTCCTGTAAATAATTACTAAATGCATAGAATTAGGCATGAGTAAAGTTATGTTATTGTCTCATATTTTATTTGAGCTGTGTTGCAATGATATAATGCATGCCGGCTCAACATGGAACTGAAAACACGAACATGGCCATAATCTTGCAAGAATACATTTTATTAACTTTCTTACTTCAAACAAATTCAATAAAAAGTTATACTTTCATTTCAAAAGTAGATTAGATTTATAATATATCTTGTTCTTAACGTGTAGTCCTTTAAATGTCACTGTGCTTTTCTTCCTTTAAGAAAATTTATTGTTAGTAGGTATTCTATATTTAAAAAAAAAAAACAGGAAAGAATAATCGCACTCTGTTCTTGATTTAATTTTTTGAGATTTACGTTACCATATTTAAGATACAAATAAACAAAATCTCATACGGTTCTTAATTGTATTTTTCAAAACTGTTGTTGCTATGCGTTTGAAGTTTTGCTACATTTTATAAAGTTTTCGAATCATCACTTGAAAGTTCAAAGAGAGTAGTGATGTTTGTCTTAAATCATGAATCATAGCAATAAAACGACTCCCGGTGTCAGAATTACAAATGAATTAATTAAGAAAATTTAATAATCCTATTAACTAAAATACTGTGTTTTACTTCTTTAAGTAATTGACAAATGGTTAATGGTATTTCTTAAGTTATTTTTATATACTTTTAATAACGGTTGACTAAGACAACGTATCAGAAAAAGGGCAGATTTACAAGAATATTTATTAAAGTCTAAGATATTTTGACGATAACTCTCTCTTAAAATGTGAATGATCTATGAGTCTAATGAAGTGTCTAAATCGAAAAATGTGTAATGTTGTTTTAATTTTTCTTGATATATTAATATTTCTTTCATATTTTAGTGAAAATTGGACGGTAATCAATGTGCCAAGATTCGTATTAGCAGTCAGTTATGGTGATGTTTTTAAAATGTAAGCTCTCATTAAAAAGTTGACTTTTAGAAATTTCTTGTTAGACTTGTTTATCCACAGAGGTATGCCATTCCATGATGTATTTTAACCTATGTATTGGCTATCATAAACCATAAATAATGATATAACGCACGAGTTTATCTTATAATTAGTTTTTTAATATGAAGAATATACCTTCTATTCAATAGTTTAGCGTTTATAACAACAACCTCACCTGTATCATCCAGTATCCCGCACATCAAAATAGCACTTAAAACAGATAAGTTGATTTTTAATTTATTCTTATTCAATACAATGCTTGGATCCAAAGATATTTTATTTCATTTAGCACAAAATTTGATATTTGCACTGAGAACTTATCGTACAGTTATAATTATATATGCATCATTATGAGATATATTAAGAGATGTTATTATTACTACCTCACTCAACGCTATAAAACATAAAGTGTGATTCAGGAGTGAAAAAACATTCAATGCATTTTGCCTTCTAAGTTTTCTTCCTGACAAATAATAAAATCAACTGAACAAAACGCAAGTGTTTGTTTGAATTTCACGCAAAGATACACGAGGACTAATTTCGCTAGCCGTCCCCAATTTAGCAGTAATAGACTATAGGGAAGGTAACTACTCATCACCACCTACCACCATCTCTTGGGATAGACTTTTACCAGCGGATAGTTTGATTAGCCGTCACATTATAATGCGCCCACGGCTGAAAGGGCGACCATGTTTGATGAAACAGGGATTCGAACCCGCAACCTGTAAACTGCGAGACGAGCGCCCCTAGCCACCTGTTCATGCCAGGCCAGACGCAAGTGAATACCTTTTAATCGTATTTCTATTCATTTAGTAGCAATATTCCCCAGACGCTCAACAGTAAGTTTAAGGGCTTTTAACAGTAAAAATCGGATTACGATACCCGTGGTGGACGCAGCATAGATAGCCCGTTGTTTAGCTTTGTATTTAATAACAAGCAAATAGAAATGTAAGTTTTCACAAAACAACAATAAAATACAAGATATTTCATACAAAAAACTCTCCAAATTATTCACTTTTCAACTAACCTATTATTAAAAATTTTGTAATGAAAATTCTGCCATCAGAGACTTTATCAAGACTAAAAAGTTTATGTATTTCTTGAAAATTTTATATGATATGAAGAGCTTCAAACCATATTACGATTTTGTTTGACTAGACACTTACTTCAAAATTACAACTGTTTCCTTTTAATTTGTTTTTAAATTTTTCAATTATAAAGGTGCAGTGCAGTGGCATGTATCAGAACTATAATTTGACATTGTTTAGCTTTTGTGAGTAGTGTGATGTCACCGAAAATTTATAACTTTTAGATAACAGCCCTTTCCAACGTAAAGCATTCATACACTTGGATCACATAGGTGTGTTCAGAACGATGATTTACAGTTTATAAGACTTAATGGCATTGGAAAACAAAGGAATATATATCAAGTTGGACAACCAAAATCACTCAGAAAAATGAATTACAACAAGTTATACATCAGCTGTAGTAAGCAAAATGCGGCGTCTTGTGACAGTTGAGGATTTACGAATACATAGGTCAGTGGCAAAAACATTCCACGTGCCCTAGGCAACAGTACACAATCAAGAAGAATCTATGTCTGGAAAAGTGACACGAGTCACATGAACACAAGTTGCTTTCGTGACACATCAGCTCAACCATCTTACGAAATTCAAGTAATAAAGCATGAAAGAAGTATTCCTGCTATTCTTTATGAAAACATGCCTGTCAAGTTGCCAAACGAAACTCATATGAATCTCTGTGCACTTACAATCGAACTGTTAAAAGGGGCGCTGGAAAAATGTCAACCTTGTACATTAGATGGATTATGGAAAGCCTGAAAACAGAATGAGTATGCTCTAAACATGACAGCCTTGCGACGGGCTTTTAGCAATGGAACTTACGCTGCCATTCTGTCGTCAAGGTGGACGGTCGTCAGATAGAGAATGACTGGAAGTTTCGAAATGGACTGTAACGACCCGGTAAGGTTCCAAAATCATTTTAATATAATGTGCTGAACCTCCGTACAACTGTTTACAGGAAACTCATGACTATATATACATGGAAAAATATGCACAAAGTTTTAAAGAACATATAATGGCCGGATTATACTGTCTTCATGCTATCGCTTGATATTGTTACATATTACAATTCCAAATAGCCTAAAACTGAGTTAAATTGTAATTTAGATTTAGTAGTTAAATAAATGCTAACAAGATTGATACACACAGTTTTCTTTTTTAATACAAATATATTTTAATATACAAACAATAATACAATTTACAATGACGGTGATTACCAATAATTATTACAAACAATCATTTATATACAAAAGTTTTACAATCTTACAAACAATACAAAGTCTTCTTTCTGATCTGGAACTTCCTTGATGTCTTATCGAGGGTTCACAATGTGCGAGTTAATTTCGAGTTGATGTAGGTATAATTCACTTAATAGGGAGCTAGCTGGCTCTTTGGTCTTCACTGATCACATGCCGATTTTTTTTCACCGATGACGTCAGGTAATGTTTTCGTAAAAGTACTAATGTCCGATATGAGTTCACTGAAGTTAAATGGTTTGTCATGTTCGAAATTTATAAATGTTCCTGGTCAAATATTTGATGTGTTCCGATTAATAAGCATTATAACAATCACAGTTATAGCTTCCGAAGTTTATAGCACACCAACTATAGTAAACCAATAATAGATACTGTTTTTGGCGCTTCGCGTTGGTTATATTTATAGGCGTGTAGAGAGTTTCTCGAAATTTCAGTTTACGTAACAACACTGACGCTAACACCAGCATTTACGTACACATATATATTGTTGATTCTTACACTCGAGAATCTTCTACAATTTTAGACAATAGGCGGGAGTTTCGCAATACATGTTTAACAGTATAAGTTATGTACATTTCTAAATATAACTTTAATTTAAACAAACATCGATATTAAAATAAATGTATAATAATAAATCCGCCACAGTATAAAGTTAAGAAAACGAACATTATCAGTTTTAGTTAACTAAAGATTCCAAAAACACACGTAGGTTCAGTAAAACTCTTTTGCATAATTAAAAATACTAGCAGAAATGCGCCATACGGGTGGCTGTTTGTGTTAATAATTACTGATCTTACTATTCATACCTTATTGAAAATAAAATTATAAAAGTGAGCATTATTTAAAAAAATAGACTCTTTTTTTTTCTGGGAGTACTGTACGAGAAAATTGTTTGGGTTGTGCTCTTTAGTCATACGCAACACATTGCATCAAAATAATTCAATGTACAGAGCTAAAAATTTTCATAAATTTTATTGATATAAACTGTAATGTTTTTATATATTAAAGTGGTACCGCTTATTGAAAAAAATAATAGTTTTTAAGAACTCCAGTTTCTCATTACTACATTTATAAAATTACATCGATAAAGATATAATCAAACCCTCACGTACAGTCCTAGTAAAAGTCGTGTTCTTGTCGTGAGGAGAATTCTTTGATTTAAAATTGTATTCTATTATAAAGAAATGTTTGATGCACATATCAGAGTTATTTTTGTAATTGTCTGTATCTTGAATACCCAAAGTGGGAATTTTTTTATGGATTTTTTTTATGGTGCAGGAATTTTGGTTGCATATATAAATACTGACATAACGCTACGTCCATTATAGTAAGATAAACCATTCATATTAAACATAATGTATCTTTTATCTTGATTTTTAGTCATATTATGTTTTACTATACGAAGCAGTACGTTATTATAATTTCATTGTCTATATTTTAAACTTATAAAAACTTAACATCATAAAACTTTATTACACATCTATACAGTGTTAACAGTTGATTTAGGTTAACTTTGCCTAGGTTAGATTAGTGTGAATTTGTTACTGTCAAACACACAAAGTTACCAGCTTTGCTCCGCTTAGATTCGTTGTTGAACCTAAAGTTCACGATTTTATTAAACAAACTAACGAATTTCACGGAAATAAAACAATTATATCTTTAAATAGCCAAATGTAATGTTAACCACACAACCAGAAAATAGTCATTATCCCCCATTCTTTAATGTTCTGATTGAACATGAAAATTACACCTTACCAAGAGTACCAACAAGAAAGCCAACACACACAACTTCACACATCGAATCACCCTCAAGCTCTCAAAAGAAGTATAGTTTCCCGTATTTTAAACAATGGCAAGAAGTTCCAACCGCTTTTTTTACAACTAAAGTAAACCATAATCATACCAAACCAACTTCCAAAGCAAATGCATATTTAATCCACTTTACTGAAGAAATACACAAACTTCCATAGAAACAGAACTGGGTTCATTGTATAGGATCACAGTAAGATTATTAAAAAATAAGTTAAAACATTCAGAAATGTTGCAGAACATTTTGTATTCAACATCTTATGAAACAATTAACTAGGTAAAGCACCATATTAATCATCTGACAACGAAAGAAGATATTTGTCAAAAATGCTGAATATGCACAGGACATCTTGTTGACTGTAACTGCTGCAGAATTAAATGAGAAACAAGAACAATTAAAGAATCCAGTTGCATCAAGAAACAGCACGCACTCAACAGTGAACTAGGATAAGAAGTTAGCAACCTATGAACAGAAAGGGTTCAAAAACAACGTTGAGCCAATCATTGGAAAAACAAACAGTTTTCATAACTATACAAATGAGCTATATACTACGGCTGCACAGTGCGCAGACTCTTCTTTAACACCCATTAAAGGATACATCGATTTAATAAAGACATCAGTAAATTAATCAAAGCATTAGTTTGCCCAATAAACTGCTCAACTGCTCCAACAACTTTCAACTGTTTACAACCTGCTAACTCTACAGTACAATTGTTTACCGAAAGTGCAAAAGGTCTCCAAGCTTTTCAACCTGATCACAGCCTTGAAAGAAACCATCACAAGTATATATATATATATACACATACATAAATATATGTGTATGTATGAATCAATTATAATCTTTGT